GGCCTGTGTCCGCGGGTCCGGAAAGAGAATTGCCGGCGTGTCTGCCCCAGCCCTGCCCTGGAGCAGGCGGGCCATGGCCCCTGGCTTCGGGCAGAGAGAGCTGCCTTCAGATCGTGACTTTGCGCCCCTTGTGAGGGAGCTGCAAGCCAGCCTGAAACCCTGCCTTGGCCCCATGTTCTCAGCCTACGCAAGCAGTGACCAGCTGCCTGTGCCCCCTCTCCCTTCTCCAACGACCCTGTAGTTCCACACGCGACCATACCTTGGGGTTTCCTCCCCCCTCTTTGGCAGCATACAACATCTGTAAGGCAGATTCAGCCAGCGTCTTGCTCTGGTCCAACACGGTCATCTGTTGCTGGTGATCTAGTGCTTTGGATGCCACACCAACTGCAGCTAAAACCAAGGGTTCAAAGTAGCTTGCCAGCTGCGTTACCTATGAAAGCAGAATAGTTGCAGAAGGCCATTAACCACTAGTCTGGCATAACAGGAACCATATCCCAGTTTACCCCTGGGCCATGGGTTAGCTGGAGCAGCAAGCTGTCCTAGCGCTCCTGTGGTCCACCGTATTTCCTTGGCATGGCACACCTGTGTGCTTCTGTCTCCCCTCACCTTCAAATTCCTTGAGAAAGACCTATATCCCCTTCCTCAGACACACTCAGGCCCCTGAGGTCAAATGAAATTATTCTGAAATCTGTCACAAGAGCAAAACAACTCTTGGGAGCATCCATGACAAGCATTTTCTCCACTCAAGGGAGGAATTTCATGAACTTTGTTGTGGACGAGAGGTAACAGACAGGGCTGTGTTGGATTTGGACCGCTCTGCTCACCTCGGGAACTGCTTGTGTTCACAACGTGCAATCTATCACCTCTCAAACCTTCCTCAAATATGCAGGGCAGACCTGGACTGTCTAAGACACCAGAGTGGGCCCAAGTGCTACTGTTACCTCTGGACACAGTTCACTCCTGAACTGCTTTGGGCTGACTACTCCACAAACAGCCCACTGTGGCACCACCTGGTACACCCGAAGCCTCAGAAGCTTGAGCATGTGTATGTTTGCAGGGGCTATAAGCAGCTTTTGAAGGCTGGCACAGGGAAGAAAAATAACAGTGCCTCATGTGCAGGAAGACCTGTTGAAAGGTTTACTCCATCTGAAGGACTATATGGAGAGCTAAAAACCAATAAAAATTTAAGACTTAGATTTCTTTTTCTATTTTGCTTTGCAAAGGATTAAAGCAAAAAATAAGTAGGAAGGGAACCCCAAACACAGAGTCTTTTAAACTGTGTCAAAGTACACAGCAAGAACACTTTCTCCTGCATTCAGCAGGAAAAACAGGCTCAGGAAAAGTGCTGTCACCATTGGTAGACATTTACCTAACAAGTGGGAGGAGGAACACGATTCTGTCACTACCTGTATCTCTGCAATGTTCATTTTTTGTGTGTAAAGGGTAAGGTAAATTAAGAATTAGAACTGCAATAGTTGAGACATTACAGAGTATTTGGTAGTTAAGCTAAACAGAACAGTTACTTGGATACAACTCTGGAAGATCTCTCATACTGATTTCTTTCCAGTAGTAAACACACTGACACAGAAAACTTGTATTTATTTTTCTCTCAATAATATATTGTAGGATGAGGAATTGCTATGTGAGAAACTACTCAAGTCTTGCAATAACCACAACAAATAACACCCACTTCTAGTAGGCCTATTGTAGCATTTCATTTGTGGACAGATATAATAAGCACAAGTCCTACTGTACTTACACTCCACATCAGAGAAGGACAAGTGTACACATTTACAATAGAACACAAGAATGTTACAAGCTTTTCTTCACCCACAACCCCTAAAAATTTGCAGCAGGGGCTGGAACTCAGCATAATTCAAAATCACCACTTTTTTTCCTTATACAACTCCCTCTATAATCTAATGCGGCTACAGCACCTTGCTCAGGAGGTGGCAAGCAGGCACACCACACTCCTTTGAAACCATGGCAGAATCCTCCCCTCAGACTACAGAACCCGCTTCATAGATGGCCCTCCACAGAGGCCACAGGTAACCTCTCTGCATGTCCCACACTTCCCTTCTCACTTTGTCACGAGCTGGCCAAGAAATGGAGTAGCGTGCTTTATACATCGACCTCAGATCAGGACAGGATCAGACAGACCTTTGCCAGAGTTCTTTAATGGGCCCAGTTCTGCGATATATGCATACTCAGACTATAACCCTGGAACCTGCTGAATGAGCCCGGCGTGTGAGGGCCCCATGTGCTGTGGTAACCTTCAATACAGCACAAGAGACAGAAGAACCTACACATGTACAGCTGCTGGCTGCAATAGCCAGAGGGAGGGAGACCTAGAACATTGCACTCTGCCCTTCCGTCTTGGCTTTCCCAGACCCTTTCCAACCTGCCCCTCACCAAAAACTTCAATGAACAGATCTTCCTTATGGCCCAAGACATGAAGTCATTTGGTCTCAGCTCCAAATATTTTGAAATCCTGAATCTGTTCTCCTCCTACATGCTGCCTTCTGCTCTTTCATAGGAAACAAAAAAGCTCCTAAATCATGGCCTTTCCTAACAGCCAGCTGTCTGCGGTTTCAAACACCTGCATAATGGTAGAACAGTACCTTGTGTCCAAGCTGAGCTGCCTCTCCCCGCGCGGCAGTAGCTATGGGATCAATGAGGTGGCCAATTTCCTGGACAACTGATGTCAGCTGCTCCTGCAAAGCCTGGTAAAAGGAGAAGCGGTCAGTCACTGTCACAGCTGTTGTCTCTCTGGTTGTAAAGTGTCATAACAATCATCCTCAGGCTGCCCGGCACACTCACAGCACTGTTCAAGTGACCCCCTACAGCAGGACACAGAAATTCACACTGTGGGCTTGCTTCACATAATCGCTATTTTCTTCTCCTTTACCCTCTTTCTTCAGTGAGAACCCTGAGATAGACCTGCTCCTTTTTGGACTTTTATGGCAGGTCTGGTGGGGGGGGGAAGACGGCCCCCTCCTACTCCAGCGGATAGCAGCAAGGTCAGGAATAAGTGTCCTTTCCCAATGCAGTGTGATGCTCCTGCCCCCCCCCCCCGCTCACTACTCTTGCCCTGTCAAACGTTCAGTATTGCCGTACCAGTCAGAGAAACCAGCAGGAGCTCCAAGTTTAATATGAAGAAACATTCTCCAAAGCAGACAACAGAGCACAAGAGCAAAAAGCAGTGCTGTAGACTTGGAAGCTAGCAGGAGAAATTCACCAATAGGGAAGGAAAAAGAAAAACACATCTCTGAGGGACAGAGGTGAGGACTGACCTCCTGAGTACTGTCTGTGTGACAGGAGCCTAAGAAAATTGTATTACTGGGCTTGTCAAGACATAAATACTGGCTTTTAATTCTGACGCACTTCATGTCTTGGCAGCCACCAAGACTGAGTGAGCCACAGCTCACTCTCATGAAAGGCAAAAGGAAATAAATGCTATTTTTGCACTTTGTTACATTCCTGTACTGCTTTATAAATAACTTCCATTTTAAATAATGTTTATTTCAGTTCAATGCAGTGTCCAAGATAACTACATTATATAAATAGAAAATAATTCTATCTATGACATATCTCCTGTAATACCTTCTTTTGCATAGCTTCCTTTAGTCTGTCATGTTGCTAGTATGCAGGATTACAGCCCAAATAAACCACTGGAGCACACAAATAGAGATGTAATTTCAGGAAGCAATACTACGAAAAGACACTGTAAACACTAAGGTGAGAATTCCATCCTAAGTTGCTGACTTTTTGTGGGCACTCTGGCATGATGGTCCTTGCTCAGTGAGATACAGGCTGAAATAGGGCAGGATGGGCCTACGTTACCATGAGGGGATGAGGGGAAGCTTCTTTTAATGAGAACATAGGGACATCAACTCCAGATTTCACTTATTTAATGCCAAAATACGTATTAGAAAAAATGACATGGGTATTTATGTCACTGAACTTCTAGTAAAATATTAGTTTCAGAAACATCTTGACATCCACATGGCAAGCAAGGCACCAGAGAAATACTATCAGTTGTGCATGTCAGCAGGGCAAGTCAGAGCAATATGTGTGTTGTGGTTAAATGTAACTGCTTTCACCTCTACTTTTGCCTGGAGATTCTGGGATCTTTCCAGAAGTGATACACTTCTGCCAGCATGTGATTTTGCCTAGAAGAATCCAGCAAGAATACTTCTCCCCTCACTGCCAGCAGATCGTGCCAAGCACTCGGCTTCAAATGGGAAGAAAAGCTGCAGGGTAAGTGAGGCTGCTCCTGATTAGTGTGTCTGTTCCTGTGCCATCTCCCTTACCTCAACTGAGATGTCATCCCTGGTGGCCAGACTCTGACTGATGGCTGCAAGGGAGGCCTGCTCGATGTCCCTGATGCATCTGTTGATCCCATCAATGGAGCAATCACATTCCCGCTGGCCTGGGGCCTTGTCCCTGCAAGACAGAGGTGGTAAGGTGAGCCTGCTGGGAAGTAGGCAGGCTCTTTCAGGAATGCACACAAGCATACTGCATTCCCTGACAGTACGTAAAGCACATGGGAGGACAGCCACACAAGGAGAAAAGCTAGCTTTGTTCTACCTGTAGGATTTTTATATATGTACAGAGCACTCTGCACACTTTCATACACACCCACAACACTCCCTCTCTTAATGATTAGAAAAAAATAATTGTTGCCTTGGAAGTAAAGTGCAAATGCAACCTCCTTGGGACTGACCCAGTAACAAAGGTCAACATGCAGACATAACAGACACCAGGAAAAAACATTCACGTTCCTATATGGTGGGACTGATTGTATCAGAAGCTAATTCCTTAGGTATTAGGTGTTCCATTCAGTCCCAAACATCATTTAACAAAGGTTAGTTTCCGAGTACGTCGTCCTGGCATGCAGTTTGCTATTTCAGTATGATCTTTATAAAAGTTAACAAAACTGTAAACGCTCATTAGTTCACTGTTTTCATACCATTTTGATTTAATCAATATCAAGAGGTTAAGTATAGACCTAAGCTTGAACATTTTCATTAAGGGACAGACAGGTTTAGTCAAAAAAAATATTATTATTTTCTTGCTACAGCATTCTTGCAACTCAACAGAGAACTCTACAATAAAGAATATATAGCAAAGGTAATTTATATGCTGTCTGATGCACACTGTTTTCAACATACTAGACATTGGTATGCCATACAGATAGATGTCAAATTAGCAACAGTTTTTTCATTCCACAGTATTCTCTGCTACAGTTACCTGAAACTGAATGGGAGGTGCAACCAAGAAAGGAGAACAGAACACAAATACAGAACACCCTACGCTGCAGAGTGCTGCAGTCATCAAATCTGATTAAACACCCGGTGTAACTGGGAGGGCTGTCGTGCATCACAGAATAAACGATTTCCGTTAGTGAAAAATAGCACAGTGCTAATGGCCGTATAGGCCTATTCTTTAGGAACAGCTGCTCAACTGTTAGTACAAAAGACATACCTGATAGAGGTGATGAGACTCTTGATGGAATCTGAGACCGTATGGGAATGCCCGGCTAGTACAGACCATGTAGGAGGGTCTTTGGGGTTGATAGCCAGAGAACGTGCAGTTTTGATCAATGAAGATGAGCTCTCCAACATTGTTTTAGCAGAAACTAGAATTGGTTCCTGTGCTTGCGATCCCTGTGATCAGAAAGGTATGAGAACACAAACAACTTTTAAATGCTCATTTTGTCCACACTTTCTGCTTCTAAAATTCAGTTTAAGTTATAGCATTAAAATGGCATTACCGTTTCTTATAATATTATATTCCCAGAAAGCCAACACAGAAGTAGTACTAAAGTCACTGCACTCCAGCTGTTGTCTCTATAAGGTACTTAAGAAACACTCTTCAAGTTTAGAAAAGCACCATCCAGCTGACAAACAGTAGAAAACAGTGACGCTTGTCTGATCATAGGCTACAGAGATATCATTGAAAATAAACTTTATTTGCCACCAAACTTGCAAGATCCAACTGAGCATGCTCTTTTCCCAGTTATTAGCTGGACTGCTACACTCTAATGGGGTCATCATCTCCATATCTATTTCATAGCCAGTAATCTGGTAAAGCCAGGTACCACAGGCCTGGAGGACAGGCTTAGATTTCAGTTACGGCCCCACAACTTGAAGATGGCAACAGTTGCTGCATCTTCTGATACTGCCAGCTGAAACAGAGGCTGCCGAAAGCACGAAGGAGCAGTTGGAGAGTCAGTAACAACAAATGACATTTACTTTGAAGTTTTTATGAGGCTTGAAAGATTTATCGTTCTGTTCCCTCCCCACCCCCCCTTTACTAGTTACTTTAAATACTATTCTGTTGTAGTTATTACAGGGGTTGAGGACTGAGAACTTAGGGGAAAAAAAATACAGAAGATCCACAGAACGTTATTCTTCCCAGAAAACCTGTTTCTTGTCATCATGACCATATCACTTTCGGAAGAGAAAAACCCCAGCAACGTCCCTTCAAGCCTCTTCAGAACTGATTAGGTTCCATATGTTAAAGCTGCTCTTGAGGGACAAAGAGACATTTATTACTTTATCACATGGAAGAATCCAGCTAACAAGACATATAAGTTACCTGTATTGTCACTTGACTAACCAGAGACTGGCAGCACTTACTGCAGCCTAACAAGTTTTATCCTCCTAGGGCAAAATTCAAGGTCAGAGGCTAAGCAAAAGAGAGCAGAATGCCGTATGAACTCCCAGGAACAGAGAAATACATTTGACCATCAGGTATTCACACTCATTTCCTCTCTCTCAATGCATGATAACTTAATTTTCAACTTCTTGAGGGTGGAAGGACAACATGGTGCTTACCTCAGTGCTGATTTGTGCTGGTATGCTGACAAATTCTGGATTGGAGGCAAATGCCGTCAGATTTTCCACAGCCTCTATCAAAGGTGCAGTAGCAATTCTGCACTTGTTGCGGTTCTCGTCAGAGAAATCACCGTCCAGGGCCTGGAAATGAAATCACGACTGAGTTGTGTCTGAATGGGTTTCTTTGCAAAACTGAAGGAAGATAGTTTAATTCTTCCTTCTTGTAAACTGTTGTTTCTTTATGACATTTGAAATTCCCTCCACAAACAAGGTTGATGTAAAGAATGTGATCCTTTAAGCATGTGTTTCTTTCCTTAGCTGATTATTTATCCTAACCTTAAACCTATTGCTTTGTTTCACAAGACTGAACAGAAGTTTTCTATTGTTAAAGAGAATCTGATGATTCTCTTAAATCATGCCTGAGCACCTTATGCTCCAAAGGCTTGAAGTGGCTAAAAGGTGGTTCTTTCCCATACACTGAATTTTTTTTTTTTTTTTTTAACAAACTAATAGTTTATTGCTCTCATTTTCACATGATTCATCTAATCTCTTTCATAATCTCACAGGAAAGAATATGAAGCATCTTCTGTGTAACATAATAGAACCTTCCAGTCCTAAACGCATAACCTTTTACAAGACTTCCAGTAGCAGATCAGCTAATGGCTTCCAGAAGGGTTTAAATTCATGACTCCTCTATGGCTTAGCAAGTATTATTTCTGCTTGCATGATGAAAAACTACCTCCTGCCAAACTGTATACAGGTATCTGGAAAATGAAAGATTACTATTAACAGAAGACTATTACAGCAGCAACATAAGCTGCTTGTTTGGTTTCAAGTGTTATTTATTTTTCTCTTATATGTTAAACTGTCAAAAATACCTCCACAAACCTCCAGATACTGAGCAAAGTAACACCATAGAAAACCTTCACATTCAGTTGTTTGCCAATTATTCTCAGGGTGCAAGCTCATTAACACAGAAATGTCTCACAATGGATGGGCCAGCTGCCTCTCTTAACACTAATATTGCCCAATTCTTTCCCTTTTGACTAAGGCACAGTTATATCACTGAATGTGCTCTCCAGTTCAGGTCTTCAAAAATTTAATTAATAATTTTTTAGACCATACATATCACAGAAGGTAAAAAGGTATTTCTAACTGTTCTGATTCTATCTCAAAAGAGAAAAAAAAAAAAAAAAGCACGAAGGAAGAAGGAAGCACAATTAGGCAGCAGTTGTACCTTGATAGTTTTAACCAGGTTAGCAGTGCTGTTTGCAACTTCCTTGGCAGACTGCACAAAGTGTCTCTTGGCAACAGGATTTGCTGTCTTTGATGAAGCAATGCGACAAGCGTTGCACAAAGCAGAAGTATGTTTGGCCACAATTGTGGCAGCTGATAATACCTGTAAAAACAGATGACACAAAACAAGCAGATGGTCAAAGGAGCCTCACAGTTATTATACTCTAGGTCTGCAAAGTTGCAGTTCAAAGCCATGCAACATTTTCAAACCAAAACTCCTGTGCTTGGTCACAAATGAAGTGAGGTCATGAATCCTAATACTGATAGTTTCACTGCAGTCCTCTGTAATCACCTGTGATGGGCTGCTTGCTGGATCTACCAAGTTCTGGCAAGCCATCTGGATTGCTTGATTTGCTCTGGCAAATTGAATGGGGTCAACAAGACCCTGCTGACCAGCCTGACTGTTAGGATCTGAGATGCCAACCAGGTAAGCAGCCTAGAAACAGAAAGTGGAAGAAAACAATCCTAAGTAACAATGCTAAATCCATCCTGCTTCTTTGATAAGCTTACCACGTGTCATAGCACATGGTGGTTAAAGATTATCCAAAAATCACACTGTGAAGTACTATTACCATTTTTTTTAAAAGCAATAAATCTCCAGAATCGTCTGAAACCAACAAAACTTCCCCTTACACTTGTGAAATTTATTAAGCCAAAACAAACATGTCCACTGTTTAAGCTGCTGGTACTATAATGTTATTTGTTCACTTGCATAGCCATTGGAAGGAGCTTTAATAGGTGCAAGCATCAGCAACTTATTTATTGGATGAGCCACAGCTAAAGATGGTGATGATTTTCATCAGCCTGAGTCGAAAACCAGTTCATAGCAAATGCACTACTGCTGAGTGTGGGACCCATCAAGTCTGCTGGTCTCACCACAGATCAAGATGTCCGATGGCCAAATTTACTTAATTTTCTCAATTAAATAAAAGTTTAATGTCTTTCAACAAGGAGGAAGTGTCTGAACTGTATCTGAAGATTTCTTGATGCACTTCCATTACAGATACTATTACCTGTCATCCTGATATGCCAGTAAGGCAACACAATGTTAGGTGTGGACATTAAGTCTGTACTGAGACATTCTATATTTGGGGAAATCAAGAAGTGGTTTCCAGATGCAGAGAGTGATCCTCCATAGCCAAATTCTTCACTGGGGAAGCTGTATCAACTCTAAAGAGTTCAGGTCACTCAGTTATCAAACCAGTGCAATCACAGTGACTAGTTCCAGACTTGTGACTACTGCCAGACTCTAATTTGTTGTAGCAGCTTAAGAATGTCAGTTATTCCAAAAGTATCTGAGCAGCTGAAACAGGTTGCCTATTATTTTAAATGTATGCATTTAGCAGTGCTCACTATGAATTTTTAAGAACTAAATCAAACTTGATTCATTCATTTTAACTGTGGCTGATTTTTGTGTCCCTCTCTATCACATAACAGTTCAGAGCTTGGGCTACAAACACGAATTCCATATGCTGCAGCTTTGGCATTTGCCTTATCCTCAGAAAAGTTTCCCTCTTGATGTCATTCCTTAACAAATATGCATGTTATTGCACCCTGCTGCTTCTACAGTGTACACCAGTGCGTGCACCATTTTGGTGCCGCTACGCACATCGCACCGTGCAGTGCAAGGCTGTAATTTCTTTGGCCATGAGGAAGCCAATTGCTGATTTACATACAACATGAGCTTGCTATGAAAATAAAATCACACTTGCTTTACAGACTTCAGGAGCTTACCTGAGCTGCTGCCTCTGTGAGGCCACAAAGAGCCTTGGATGCAACTCCAACACATTCTCCAAAGACTAAAAGATCCCCAGTTTTTGCATTCTGAGAAATGCCCGCCATTGATTCTCCAAGAACCTCAGAAATTAAAAAACAAAGTTATCTTTCCAATATGCTTCCCTACCGCCCCAAGGCAAGTGATTCCTGGCCTCGAGCCAGTTCTGGCTCACAAACCTCTCTGACTTGGCTTCCAGAAATTTTAACTACTTAACAGTGCCACTGAGCTGGGCACATTCCTCTGTGTGCTGTAAGGGATCCACACTGGATTGACAGTGCCGAACATAAATGCTGTTCTAATGCAAATGACTACAAGAACACACATTTAACCTTCATTATTTTGGTTATCATCCTCTAGTCGTCACAGCTAGCCTGGTAGTAAGTACATTTCACAGATAGCAGAACATGACAACCTATGCTGCAGCTGCTGTTGATACATTCGGGACCTTTTTTGCCCCAAGACTGGGTGAAACTCAGTGGAAACAAAATTGTATCTAGTCTGCTGGAACCATCAGAATGCAAATTAACTCCCACAGTGTCTACCACTTAATTCACTTTATTTTCTTTTAGATTCAAAATAAGGTCCTACTAGTAGAGCACTAGATGCAAGATTACATGCAGATCCATCAAGATCTTTTTCTTTTAGAAAAGGATGGATCTGAAACAATTCCAACACATCAGATAATAAGGATGCCAAAAGCAAAGCTTCAAAGAAGAAGATACATCATGGTATCTTTAAAAATAAGGAGACTTCACAGAGATTTTGTGATGTGCTGAAATAGCTGTACTCCTCAAACATTTCTCTAAGATGCTTTGCACAGAATGATACAATGGTATTTCACTGCCTCCCATTTGTGATTTTTTTGCTTTCAGCCGAACTAAATATGAAAATATGACATGCTGTCTAATGCACAGGAGAGGAAGGCAGAGAGGAAAACTTCAAAAACATTGCATACCAGTCACTTAGTTTTTCTTAATTACTGAGACAATATACCTTCTAAATGACCCAAACTTGAAATTACCTGTAACAGACCTACCTCAGACTGAGTTTCATCAAGGAACACACCTTACATTTTAGCTATAAACACTGTGCTGTTTCTACCATGTTTGATATGCATGTGAAATGTCAAAAAAATCAAGATGCACTTTAAAAATGGCACAGAGGTGGGAAAAGGATTACCTTTGAGTTTTCCATTACGCCCTCAATACAATCAAAATATGAGAGATCGCTCACAGGTTCACTGGGGTTATCCAGCATTCCCTTGACTGTCTGAAATAATGGAAGAAACTGATTATTGGCAAAGTCTGAAATACTGAGCTGAGAAGGCCATAGTCCATCACAACAGTCCTGCTTTTACCAGCGTAATCTTATAACTCGATCTCCACCAAGCAATCAAAAGTACACACTCACTGTGGGCACACATACAGATGAGGGTGCTACACATCAAAAGCTACCCAGCATTAACTGAACTGTGCTAACCACACACGGGTGCACTACAAATCTTTTGGAAGGAAAGGCTACTGTGGTTTACCTTGTGCTTGTGATGAGTGATTAATAGTCAATGATGCTCAGCTGACATGAGGGAATCTGTTTTTTTGTCAGTTCTCAACAGCTTAATACATGCTTTCAGTACTATTTTAAATTTCATAAGCAGAATTACAAGAGTGATAGGAAAACCTGCTACCCTTTGTTGAGTACTTTCTAGAGACTCTTAGGGCTACCAGACTAAGTCGAAGACAACCTGCCTACCTTTTATTACTGTCAACAGATTGTATCAGCATGGCTCTCTCTGCCAGAAAACTACGTATACTAGTTGGGTTTATTTTCTTTTCCTAAGCTGATTCTGATACCTGGAAATAACAGTGTGAAAGTCAGTCACTTCATTGAGAAAAATCAATGCATTTAGGTAACAGAGGTGGGAAAAAGCTCTAATATACAGTAGACTAGTTTTATGAAACGTAAAAAGACTGCAATGCACATTTTTCCAAGTTTGGAGGAGCACTGTCTTCTGCCAAATATCACATAGGAAAGACTTAAACTTTCTGATGGAAGTGAAATCCCAAAGTATGGAAGGATACTAATGTCTCTTTCTGATGTTTGACTTCCACCTGAAGGAAATGTAGGCATGGTTTTAAAACCTTAGACTTTTCTCATAACTAAACTCCTAACATTAAGGTACACCTGCAATATTTGTAACAGCTTGTCTATTGCTTTTTAAAAGCTATAGTCTAACTTAAAGCCTTACAGGAACTAAACTGTGAGACCAAGGTCATGTTAAGTCATTATATCTAGACAGCAGCTTCTAGTTGCCTCTCATCTCTCAGTTCCCACAGGCATTGCAGGCAACTTTGTTATTGTGCTCCACTTTTAAATAACAACTTGTAAAGCAAACCATGTTGCTGCAGCAGTTAAACTACTGTGGAGACAGAAACCCTCAGGATAGAAGGAAACAGAACAGCAAAATACAAGTAGCACAAACTTCCCACTGACATTTATTTCCTATTATTACCACACCTTTGTTAATCCTTTCAGCTGAAATTCTGGCCAAGCTTAGCTACCTCATTGGAGGTCATACCATAAGGTCCTTCCTAAATACAGCTTTCCAGAGTCTGCAGGGAGCATAGTGACAGTCTACCAAATCCAAGCTGAGACACACTCCTTCTACTGAAACAATAATTTTTAGTACTTATATGAAGCTTTGGGAAGACTAGAAATCCTGGGTGATGAATTGAGAAAATGAAGGGAAGAGCTAAGAGTTTAATCATTGGAAAGAGAAAGTGTAAAAGACTGCCAAAAATGCTTTACCCCAAAATTTCATAGGTTCCTCAGGTCACTTTGATACCAGTATCCAGTCTGGCTTCAGGACTGTGTGGTTTTGCCTCAGGTTCCCCTTTCTCAAAAATTAATCTAATTCAATACATCCAGGCTTTTCTTGCTAACTGCCTCTCTTAGGCAAGTGCTTCCTGAAGTTCAAGATGCTACAGCTGTCTCTTCTGCCCTTCCTGGGTTTTGGTTACAATCCATGCAAACCATGCTATTGAGAACCCTCTGCAGTGGCTTCTTAAGGGTGTTCTGCCCTACATTTCTCCCCTAAGCTCTTAGTTTTCTGTGGCTTGTTAGTTGGGAATTCTCATCTTTCACATCCATGCTGCTTTGCAGATCTCTCCCCATTAGTCTTTCACGAAGTCCTGAGAAATGGTGCTTCACTCCCACTGCTGACTTCACCCCTATGTTCTGCAGTGATTTCAGGCAGCCATGATATTATGGCCCAATTTCCTTTTTTTCCTGTTATTTGAACTTGCTGCCACTCCTTTTAACCAAGAGGAGAACAGTTCTCAGCTCCAAAAGCTAAAAAATCAGAAGTACAAAATGTCTCCTAGGCAACTCCTAACAACTTTTTGCATGATGACTGCAGACTTGCATATTTTAAAAGCTCACAATGTCCTAGACTGCTCTGCAGTGACCTGTGTATCCTTTTCATACCAAGGGACAGAAATAAAAAGCTTGAAGGTGTTTAAGCTCTCCACATGGGCCAGTCACCCTTGATGTTCTGATCTTAACAGCAAAGAACAAACAGTTAATGTAAAAAGATGCTATTTCCTACTATTATAAGCAGCTGTGTTTGTGATCAGTGCACAACCTTAGCCTTAGGTCTTTCAACTGACCTGCTAGTCACTATTTATCCAGCCAAACATCTTGCTCATGAACAAGAACACACCTTGGAAAAACCTGTATTAACACGCGTCATATCAGCTTGGCTGTAACAAAGCAGATAAAAGGCATCAAACACCTACATTAAGAAACGGCAAGGTAGAAGATGATAAACATCATCCTGAAGTAGTGTGTCAGTAACAACATTCTGTAAGCAGACAAAACACATAGTGCAGTTCTCTCCAGTGCACTGCTGTTTGTTGCAATGTCCATCTCAATATCATTCTTCCTTAATTCACAGTAAGCAAGAATAATAACTAAAGTGTACCTTATGGGGGGCAGGGAAAAGGAGATGGGGATGAGGCAGTAAATTTCATTCTGGACAGAACTGCAAGATGTTCACAGATGTTCTATTCTTACCTTGTACACAATTAAAACCCCAGCCAAACTGAGAAGACAGTGGCAACAGCTAATCAGACAAATAAAGCCAAGGAAACAAACATTTGGAGCCCATTTTTATTTACAAAGATTTTTGAAATTTATTAATACCTCCAGTTCTCTCAGTGCGTTATCACATTCCTTCTGCCCAGGAGCTTGCTGGGTGCACAGTGTGATGAGCTGGTTTATACTCTCAGTCACAGCTCTAGGGAGAGTGGAAGGAAAAAAGGCATATTTTAAAGTTCGAGTATTCTTCGTAATAAAGCTTTAATGGCACACTGCATAACGATCTAAAACCTTTATGATCTACATTTTAGCACTTCTCCAGATCTAATTTTAACCAAAACATTTCTTAACTAGCACCCCAAAAGTCTTAAGAAAAACAAGTGCCCATTATGTTAAAAAATGTTTGTAAAGTAATATTATATACTCTGCTAGCAAAATCTTATGTCTTGTCTGACATACTGTATTACACACACACACACATAATCCAATTCCAAACATTTCCATAGTCTGTAATCAAGTTGGTTGGTTGATTGGTTGGTTGGCTTTTTCCCTCTTTAACTCATCATTGATGCTTTCAGGGTCACCATGCATTGGCTCCCTTAGGTTTAAATCCAGAGAGCAAGATATTTTCTTATTATGTTTCTATGGGAGTTCACAGTTCTGGTGCTCTTGACCACAGGATGAATGTGACATACTATTAGTCACTATTTGAGTTTCCAGTGAATGCTCTGATACCAAGCAAAATTCATTATAGCTACATTTATTTTAGACTAACAGCTAGAATGCAAAATATGCTTTCCCCACTGTTCTCAAGAACTCGGCAATGGCTTTTGGATTATTTTTTCTTTTAAGACAATTGTAACTTGATAACATGATTAGTAATATCAATAACATAATTACCTAGTTAGATGGTATCATACTGTTAGAAAAGGAAACTACATGCTTATACACCTGGTTTAACTCCAGGGTACAAAGAATAGAAACTAAAAGACATTAACTGAGATTACTACCCTTTTCAGTAGCTTTGATGTCCTTGTGGAGCCATTTTTCCTGACAACTTCTGCCTTATAGGATTTGTATGACTTGTGTCATGTCCTCTATACTGTATTATATACATGTAGTCCTGATATATATTTATATCATCTGTTATCAAGTTTGGTTTTTTTTTCCCTTCAAATAATCATTGATATTCTGAGTCAATGTGTGTATTTACAAATATCTTTACAATTATTATCTATGTCTGAAAAAAAACGTGCATGGCTTCACCAACATAACATCAATACAAACAATGCATGCTTAACCTCCTGAACATCAGTCATTTCTATGCATCACAAAAATGTCTTTGCATCCAGAGGCATAAACAGATGGAAAAAAATCAGAAGGTTTTGTTCACTCCCAGAGAAACCTGATGCAAAAATATCTTGTCCACTGTTGATTTTAATTTAAGGCAGACAATGCACGTTCATTCCCAGAATATCAGTCATTAAAGAAAAAAACCTGAACCAGATAATGGACTAGAATTGTCAGCTTTGCAGAGGATGTGGTGTGGTCTCATGGATATCACTACTACACACTGGGTACCTGTACCCAGGAATACACCCAATATACAAGCATTACTTCAAAAACTATTTGCAAGTAGTAGAAACAGGAAGGTGGCCCTTCAACCACCAACCCCAGAGTGGAAGAGGACTGTTAGGTCTCTAAAAGCCACATTTCATCAAATACAGCAGAGAAATACTCTGACCCTGCAGGAAACTCTCCTAGGAATCCTAAGGTCCAGGACAATCATCAACGTAATTTTCCCTGAGGAAGTAACAGTCTTCACTCACTTCCTCTCTAGGTTAATCTTTGTGGGCATGAACATTTGGAAGACAATATTATAAGTCACATCCACACAATCTCAGACATTCATCTTAGTTGATGTAGACATTTCTAGGTGTGATGTCTGTCTGTCCCTTCAGCAGTCCCCTACCAGTTTGAATTTTGAACATTCCCTTCACAAACATAGGTAACAGAATAAAAAGCTAATTAACGAAACAAACAAACAAAAAAAAGTGAAGATCTGACAACGTGAAGGAGATGTGGTTATCCAGGCAAACACTGAAATGCAGTGTAATTTTTCACATAAACACTGAGCACCTTGACTGACAAACAGTATCCACACGATGAAACTCGGGGCATGGTTGACAGAATCCTTAAAGTAAGGTGTCTTCCACCAGATAAACATAGCTTCTAACCCTGTCAAGTGTTCTTGATCATACACACTGTTAGTGATAGGTAATCACAACATGATTTTTAGGCACACTGTATAAAAGAACAGTATTCATTTGCTTTTCTTTGTTAGGGATTAAGAGGCTTACTCTCAGCTACTGCCTTATCAGAACACAGATGTTAACAAATGTGTAGGTAAAACACATTAGTCCCTTTCAAAAACCAGGCCAACTCTTCAGTTCTTATTTCCACCAAGTGTAGCAAGTTACACCAGCTAAGGAACTACTCCACAACAAGCAGCTTTTCTCCAGCCTACTTTCATTTAAATAGAACTGCAGGTTCCAACCACTTAGTTAACTGTCAATAGCAGAAGAATTTCTAAACACTATACATACCACAGTGAAAAGTAAATATCTTAGGAAAGCCTAAAGCAAGCAACACATCCTTACCTTGCTGCTGCTGCTAAGAGGTTCTTGGCATTAGGAGCTCCAGGATCAACAGAGAGAGACTTGGCAGCTAGTAACAGCTTGCTGGACGCCATAGAGATGCTCTTGAGGTTACCTATTACTTGAATCTGGTCCTCTTTAGTCTGGAAAGCCACGGCAGCGTAACGTAAGTTTGCACTAAAGAGGCTGCAGTAAAACTACATTTGGAAACACAGTTTATCCACCTGAAACCACTGACATGCAGGGGATCATATTCCAGACAGGGACATGGACCAAAGCCTCTGTCCACCCAGACAGGTGCCTCTAGCTTCACTTACGTAACAAAAGAAGAAACACATATAACAAAAGCTTGGTTTCTAACAATGGCAGTATTCACAAATGAGCAACGGAGAAACTTTACTACTTGTTGAACAATGCTTTTGTTTCAAGACTCTCATGTGTCTCTGCCTGGCACAACTGATCCACATTATTCAGTCAGCACACTCTCTCTGTATTCTAGCATCCTCTGTGTAACCCACAGGCTCTCTGGCATCTAACTGAGACTACTCATGCAGAAAGATCCCTCCACAAAGTCCTCTAACCTGAGAAAATACATTTTTAGAAGAATACTAGGGTAAACATTCTGACTTGGATGTTCTATTCTAAGCCATTTCTTGAAAACGGAAACCTGCATATATGCACAATTACAGGCAAGTACTGCATTATTAGAGCAAATAGCTGTGACTAGATTCTTCAGTCGATGATCAGTAGAAGTGAAACCATTTTTTCTAATCTGTTTTGGGTTTTATGTGAAGAGGTTGCATATTACTCAGCTGATGTGAATGGCTTTTACTCCAAACTTATGTTTTGCTTCCTCCCTAACCCAACATTTTGCTGGACATCCAAAATACCTGGTATTACTTCTGTTCAGGACAAATAACCAGACACAGACAGAAGGTGTTCTCTTTTGAAAGATCAGACATTTATAAGTAGGGTGGTTATTTTCCCCTATGTCACCAGGATAAGCAAATTCACAAGGACCACAAGGTCATCAGCATCTGGAATTGTCTTTTCAATTAACTACTTGCAATATCATTTCTACCTTTACCTTCAATGAATTGCCTTAAACAAAACATTCTGAAAGTCAATGAGGCTAAAAAGATAGTCGGGTACCTAACCCCTACTCAGTTGCAGAGACTCAGCTGATATTTGGTGGCTAATTCACTTCATGGATCGGGAACCTGAATAATTAAGTTTTGATGGAGAATAATCACCAGTCGTTGTCCTATCTTTCTACTCAGCTCTCTCTACAAAGCACCTGCTCTAGAGACACTTCACAAATGACTCCCAAGGAGTGGCACACTCCAGACTTCTTAGCTCTTTTTCTTTTGGCAATCATCTCTTAGGTTTGTAAGATTCTCCTAACAACTAGAGCAAACAGCTTGCAGATTCTTTTTACTGCAAGTCCTCCTAACTTTCTTGTTACATGACTCTTTTATATGCTGACATTTGTAATGCTAAACCTTCTCCAAACGGCCAATTATTGTAATTCAATTGTAAACCCAGTAAAGTGACAGAGATATCTCCAACTTGAAATGAGTTGCTACTAGGGATAAACTAGGTAATATATGACAACATTCCTGATAGTTACCAAGTTCATCAGAATAGAACTCTGCCAGATTTTAAATCGCTGAACAGCAGTCCAAGTCCTTGCTGTCAGACCTACAGCATTTTAGCCAGCCTTGTCAAATGCTCGTTCCACTCTGTAGCAGGTCAACAGCAGCATCCACCATAAGGCAAGATCAGGCCTGGATTCTAAATGTGTCTTTTCCTCCCTCGACTCAAAGCATTTGAAAATTAACAAAGAAAGGTGCTGAAGTTTGGACAGTGTTCCCATAAACTATGCTCCATGGTGGTTCTACCAGGAATAGAAGCAACCCTTTCCGTAAGCACTGAGAGGTTCAGCACACCTTTGTACCTTCAGATATACAGCTCAAAGTAGTTAAGAGCTGACACTAGCCAGAGGAATACCAAGCAGTATTTCTGACTGAGCACAGGAATAAATACCAGTATCCTGCATTACAAAAATACTGACCTGTCTTCACTCTGGATAATCAGTTATGGATCAGTGCTTCCTAACAAACACGACCTGTCATATTTGCATAGGTTCACACAAGCACATTAAACTGCATTACTGGATAACCGAGATGCTTCACTGCAAGATACTACGCCCAAGATAATACTTGGGCAAGGATAAAAAACTCACTTGTGCTTGGCCAGCCATTTCAATACCAGCATCAAGAAATTCATCAAAGTCATCACTGAATTTTCCAGAGGCTGCAGCCAGTTCCCCACTTTGGCCTCGTGTAGCATGGACGACTTCTCCTGCTGACTGATTCAGGTCTGCTGCTGCCTGGTTCAGTTCGCTTTGAGCTTCTTGAAATGACTTAGAACTTGGAGGTAGCTGTAAGAGACCAAGTTTTTATTGTCTGTCACATCATGCCAGCCCTTTATGGGTGTAAAGCTCAACACAATTCAAGAACACTAAAAGCAATACGGTAATGAGCTTCCCACACAGGCTAGAACACAGGACTGCAACTGGACTGGTAATGACTCAGGTCTAAATGCAGAATAGTCCAACCACGGGACAGCTATCAGCAAAACATCTATAAAATGACCACAGTCCTCTGCTGTCTCCTCTAAGGGACAGAGATCATGACAGCTATTTAATGGTTCAACTGCAGAATTCAAAATGAAAAATTCCGTGGTAAAAGTTGGGAGAATTTTCATCTCCAGTCATCACTCAGTTCCACAAGCCAGCTTTCCAGAACACCACACAAGCACTGGCAGCTTTTCACAATGACTCTGAACTCCTGACCTGGTTTTACCAAAAGTCACTGCACAAACATATAAAAATACAACTCCTCCTTCATTCACAGGGTAGCAGGATCACTGGTAAGTGCAGGAAAAGTTGTTCAAATTACATAACCTTTCAGCAAATTGCCGGTACATAATTTTTTTTTGTTGACATGGATGCATTTAAATGGAAATATAAGAATTCTTCTCTTTGCACCAAACGCACCAACATTTCTCTACTACAACACTCCTTAAACTGAACTGATCACCTCTAGGCAAGAGAGGGATTACAATGTTCTGATTTTCATATTCTTCAGAATGTTAAGTCACAGTTAGCATTCCCAAAAAAACAAACTAAAGGTGATCTATGACAACAACTTTAATAATGCTTTCACAAGTCACAGACACGTTTCCCCTTTCCCATAAACTAGAACAGCAGCATTTCAGCCAAAGTAACACCTAAAGTTGCATAACCTTAAACAAAACTTACACAAAGTATACATTGGGCACATTTACTAAATAATAATTTGACACATGGGGAGCCCAGATCTGCTTTTCATTTCTCTGAAATTAATCTCTATGTTAAAAGACATCTCACCGAATCAACAAGGAGCTTCTTGCTGGATTCCCCAATACTCTTCAAGGCTACATCCACATCCTTTTGTCCAGGCAGACAATTCACGCAGTTATTTAAGGAGTGAGACACTGCTTTTGCCACCTATAGCATGTAAGTGAACACATCCACACCAAGAAAGGCTTAAATGGTTGTTAATCTAACACAAGTCACATACTATAGCCAGTGATTCCTAAATTCCTGTTTTGAGGCCTGCAGCTTGGTTTTTCTCATCTCCGGTCTAGCAGTAGTCATTATTTACATTCACCCATTTGATGGGATAGTGTTGGCAGGGCAGCACCACAACTGCTCCTGGCACCTGGGATAAAAGCTGAAGCACAGCAGATAAGGGAATGCCCCTGAAATTAACCGTATACTGATCACAGAAATCCTTTGCATGCTTTTTTAAAAAAACTCCTGGTTAAAACGAATCTCTCCTCATGAGAAATTATTTGAAATACCAGCCAATTATAGAACTTTTCAAATCAGTAAAAAAGAACCTGTTACTACTTAAAGTCTTCAAAAGCATTGGTGTCACACATGTAGAAAACATGCATTCACTTTTTGAACAGAACAGGAATACAGATCTTTCATTTGATAATGATCAGTTGAACAGTTTAATTTTTGCAGTCAAGCATTCTACTCAAATATACTATGGATAAAAGCACTCTTTGTGCAAGCTTGTTTTTTTCTCAAAGATGGCTCAAATATCATACATTGCACCATCTGCATTGTTTAGCACAAGCATTATGTTGCTATCTGAAAGCTGCTGGAAGGAATAGAAAGCTGATGTTCCTTCCAGCCTTACTGTCTGTTGTTCTCTCTCTTTATTTAGCACTGTGTTCCAAGTCATTTCACTGGGTGTTTGATAATTCACGTTACTGAGCAAGTAGCAACTTACCTGGGCTAATCTCTGCTGACTGTCTGCATCCCCTGGTGCAGCCAGGGCCTGCTTCGCCTCCTGAATAAGCATAGCAGAGCCTTCCATGACATCCCGTGCTGAATCCAACATGGCATGTGCTGCCACAGGGTCAGTAGTAGATGCTGCAACCCCTCGTGCTGCCTGAGCCAAAGTCTTCAAAGCCTGAGCAGTTTCTCTGGCAGCAACTCCTATGTTCAGATTTCAGTGAGGACTCTATTAGTACCCTTAAAAACAATCTTTTTATTTTATGACAGATGAATTCACAGGTAATGATCCCATTGCAAAATAACATTGCAAATGCAGTTTAAAAGAAAATAGTGAAACGCACACATTTGAAATACACAGCATCATTTGCCTAGAGAAATATCTGTAGTGAAGCCATAAATTAAATATTCTACTCTAAAGACCATGTTCTGGTAACAGCTCTACATCAGTGACTAACTCTTTGCAAAGCACTGAAAAAGAGGACAATCTAAAACCCTGAAATGGGGAAAAACCTCATACTCCAAGCTATGGAGGAAAGCGATTATCTGCAAGAATCATGTACACAACTTTAGAGCCACAGCATCTCTGCTGCTTCTGAAAACACAACTTTAGATTTTATTGAGACTAAATACAGCAACAGCTTAAGTTCAAGGAATTGAAAAAATTAAGAGAGACCATTATGGATGATATAACTTGATATAACCTAACGTCACTGTGAGTACAAGCACATAAAAATAACCAATGAAATCACAGAGGGGTTATCACTAAATTTGTTTCCATCATCTGTCTGGCCAACATTATAAGACAGTCATGACCTCTAGCACTAAGGCCTACAACTATGAATGGATAATGGTCCTGTTCTTCTATTTTGCAAATTCAATTCTGCCCTTCATGAAAACCAACATAAAACAGTCTTCTGAGAGACCTTAGCCTATACTCAACAACACATGCAATTAATGTAGGTGGTATTTTTTTTGAGTGAAAATGGTAAAATCATACTATTCCTACCAAAGAAAATTAAAGAAAAAGTTCACGTTTGCTGTGCAAGATCTCTTGGTAATCCATATTTAGGTATTATAAATAATTGTAATGTTCTAATAACTCTACTAGAAATTTTTAGAAAGCTGGGATGTCACAACCAAATAAAACCCACAAAGTAACCATGTTAATATTTTAACACCAGTGTCTTTTAACATTTACTCTTCCAATAAATTGAACATTTTTTAACATGGAAACTTTAGAAGATAATGAAAAGTGATATTATATTTCAAGACAAAGCCAGGCCAGACAGAGAAACAGTACTGCCTATGTTGCAGTTAAAACCTTTCTATTTGACAAACCACAGAGAACTTTCTACATTCTTAATTTAAAAAGAAAAAAAAAAATCAGGAAAAATCCATGCACATTTTGTTTCCTCTATTTAGAGTACCAGGAAGCATCTTTTACATTTGGCTTGATGTATCACAGCCCCACAAAATAAAAAGGTTTGATTGTTTTGCTTTCAGTTAGGTGCTGCTTTCATTCTCTACAATGACTTTCAGTACAAAGTGAAAAGAAACTTTCTGTGACGTTTGCAGACAAGAGGGAATTATTAAATAGTAAATATAAACTGTAAAGAATTTTTATCACAAGGGAAACAGCAGGATGTCATAATACCTGCAAACACTTGGTGCTTCCTTGAGCACAGTTTCTGTATAACCAGATAGTATGAGAGGAAAAATAGTTATGTAAGCTTAGAAAAGGGATCTATTGCTTTGTAGGATTTCCCAACCAAACAGCTCTTACAGCTTGATGTTAAGAGAACTACTACATTTAGGTATTGAATATCAGCTGCAAGTATCTATATCCCTTTGCCAGATACCCAGTGCTAACTTCTGCTTAACTATGTGATAGAAACATGAACCGTCTTAATGCAATTGCATCTGCTTCAGATTAAAGCAACTGTAAGCTATGTAGCTCTGATGCAATTATATCCAACAAAGTGGTAACTGTCATAATGCATTTTATCAGTAATATTTTTTAAAAAATCCTACAGTAACATTTGAAACAACAGCTTTCAATTCTTGCAGACATAAGGAAACATAACATTTTACCATCTAAGAGTAAACCTGCAAAAAGTATTTCCCCTATTACAGATTTTTAGTTTCTAAAAGTACAAAACCAAGTTGTAGAATTTGTGTCCCCATTCCCTGTTGCCTTTAACTCCAACTATGTAGATGTGATCAATGAGTCAGAGAGATCAGCTGCATTATACGTGTAAACTAGTAACATCTAGTAAAAGATGCAGTTTTAAATGTCACCTAGCTATCCCAAGTCTGTTTGTATCCTGTGCTTTAAAAAATACCCAAAGACCTTTTTATGTTCTGAAAGGACATAGCAACATTTCCATTGGCACTGACCTTTAAATTGCATTACATTTTAGTTCTGTCCTTCAGAGTTTCAGTGGCGTCTATTTACAAAAATAACAGATGTCTCAATCTATTTTGATTTTATACAGCCACATAGCAGATTGCAACACCATTTTTTATGAAGCACATTATCCACACTAGCAATTCTTAGTAACTTGCCACAATTTACTACCAACATAAAAAAAAAGCAAATATTTTTTTTATTTAAGTAAAAAAAGATAAAAAACCTTCTGTCAGGTATTTTAGGGAAAGCAGAGGTTTCAAAGAGACATCATAAATCACACACTACCTGTGTAGTGCTCGTTGCCTTGAGCAGCACAAGTTAACAACTGGGCCATTGATGAACCAACTGCTTTGGATGTACTTCCCAGGTCCTGAGTGCATTTCTCAAGCTATGAAAAATTGCAAAAGATAAAATTCTTTAAGTTCAACTAAAACACACTTGTTTAAGTAGTACTAACAAATTTCTCATTCCACAAAATGCAGGCTTTTATCTCAGCTACTGAATACACAGAGTTTCTCTGAGACCTAACTAGCATGTTTTCCCTCTCCAGGGTGAAATAAATTAACATATCTGGTAATACAAACAGCTAATGTATAATTAAATAGGGAACTCGATACCTCCATCTGAGGAGTAGGAGGTTTTAGCCAAACAGAACATTTCACTTTCTGAGCCTACCAGGACAAATAATCTTAAAACTACTGAGTTCTCATCTTTGTGACTATTTAAATTATTTTTGACAAGACTGAAACATTGTTGCTACTAAATCAAAATTTGTACAAGGCCCTACAGTCCTATGAGTAATTCTGCTACAGAACATGCTTCTGGTGTAGCAGGAATAAAGATAACTAGTGCAAAATCCTATCAGTGCCATCATTATCCCAAGCCTCATGACATGTTTTGCCTCTAATACTTAAAATTTTTAACAGCTAACTTTGTTTTTAAATTAAGAACGTCCTTCCTCAATTACAGTTTCTCCTGGGAGAGGTTTTAACTGTCCATCCACAGCTGCCATCTTCGCATCTTGCAGTTCATTTTTGAGTGTCTGGACCGTATTCAAAGCAGAATCAATTTCCATTGGGCCACATGCTTCATGAGCCTATTCAGAAATCAGATCGATATCACTGTTAGCAGCTGTAAGCCACTATCAGAAATTACAAATGCTTCAGATACAATCTCCCCCTCCCAATTTATTGCTGTCATGACTTCGGAGGCCTTTGTGAGCACTTTAGGTGTTACACATCACGGGTTCCAAACTCTTGCATAATATTCTTAGCTTGTGAATATAATAACATACTGTTGAGAGCCACCAGAGGAGGGAGATGCACTTAGCCTGTGTACACGTATGTTCACACTAGGTAGTGCAGCTGCTGAGAAAACAACTGTTGCAGTCTAGACTTCACCTTTGACAAACAGCCTAACTGTGCATCATGACTAAAGTCACACTGAACCCTCTGATGTAACAGCCCAGAATTATCAGCACCTGAGCTGGAAATTTTAATTTTAGCTCAGGTGTAACTACCTATATGCTACAATGCTGTATTTTGGCCTCAGTGTACACCAAAAAAAGAGCAGACTTCACACTGACACTTTTTTTTTTTTTAAACTCACACCTACTTTAGAAAACTGGGCATGAAACAGCCTCCACTTCCCTGAATTTTAGAGATGATAGCTCCAGTTCACAATGACAGCACTGACCATAGTAGTGCTGTATCTGAGCTCTCCACAGCTTGGCAGGACATGAGATATGTTCCCCTTTCTCTGCTTTCCTTCAGATGTAACAGCAGCTCAGAGCTCTGATTTGCTTCTCTGCATATACCCTCCTCCTGTGGTTCCGGTATGGAAAGGGTAGCACAAGCTTTTCAGATTTCTTGCCACTTCTCCCTCTCCTTTCTATTATGAAGCCACCCGGGAGTCTGAGCAAAGTGTGCACAAATTGCAACAGTGCAGTGTGAACACTGCCTGAGCATGAGCCATTCCCCTCAGGCAGAGCCAGTGAGCCTGTGAGCACCAGCCAAATCATCTTGCTTTAGCTGATTTCAACTAGAATTTACCTACCTTCTGCGAGGCAGTTCGTAACTCAGCTAGGCTGGTAGCAAGATTCTTTGCACACTGACTTAGCTGCATTGCTGCTGCTTGATCAGTCACAGTGGGAACTGCAGCTTTGGCAGATGCCACCATTTTACTTCCAGGCTGTTCAAAGAAAAGCAGTGAACACAATTGCTTTTACTAGCTCATTTTCTTTAAATAAGGCATAGGATTCAATAAACAGACTGCTTCCTCCATTCACACACTCATGACGTTCCAAGGTTTTCTGTAATGACCTTCTCATGCAATTCCCTGCTCCTTAACCATGCACCTTCTCAATTCCTGCCTTTTACTCATATGCTGCACCCTGTCATAGTTCCACATTGCAGTCTTCTCTGCAGCAGGACTCATTTGTACTTTACTAGTACAATGACTACTTCATTGATACTGATGTCTGCCTGAGAACTTTGACTACTCATGTAGGCTACTTCAGTATGCAATTTTGCCATTCAGCATCCATGTAGTACAAAGAGGTCCAGGTGACACATACAGTAAATTTTTCTCAATGTTTCTAAATATTAAACTTTGACAAAATTCTATAAATTGAAAAGTAATTCAAACAATGACTCCTCACAGAGTTTGGTGTTAATACAATTAAAATGCTTGTCTGACTCTCACCATCACTATGGTACACACACAAAGGCAGAGAGGAGATGGCTCATGTCAATGACTCCAGAGACAATCCTATAGCACAATACTCAGATTGAGAGTCGTTTGCAATACCTCAGCCTACACAGGAACATAAAAAAAATCTGCTAACAGCAACCAGTTAAAGGATTGGTTACCATTCCACATTTAAAGCAGGACAAACTAGTGTCAAGGAATGATTGTGTCATTACACAGATAATTCATTTCTTCCATTTTTTTCCTGTACTGCCAACAATAAACCAAATAGATTTGTTATCAATGCTCTTTTTTTATTATTGTTTTCCTTTGTGAGATGTTGTTGTGGTTTGAGGCTTGGGGGTGGGACAGGTAATCTTCTAGGACCCAGGAGGGTCCCGGGGGAAGCAGTTTATTCCCTCCCCTTCCTCTCCACACTCTAAAAGGTGCAGGAAGGGGGTGCTTCGCTCTCTCTTGCCCTGCTGCTCTGGGTCCCGGTGTGCTGCTGGAGTTTCAGCGTGCTGATTTCCATGCGGTCCTGAACCATCTGAGATTTGGGTTTTGTATATCTTGTTTACTTTGTATTCCTCCCATCTTTGTGCATATATTTACTCCCTTTTTTTTTTGCTTTCTCTTCCCTGTTAAACAATATACTTTATTTTCTTTTAACTTCCAATCGGTTCAATGCCATCCACTCTCTCTGGAGGGGGGGGAGCACACAGTTCTGTTCCGTGTGGGTCCTGCCCTGAAGCCCTTTTTACACAGAACCAGAACAGATGTTTCGAAAAAAGCACAGAGTGCAATGTTGTGTTTTGTTCAGAACTTCAATAAAGATCCATTACATATGCAGACTACTACCTAAAAAACAGTAATATTCCCTTTTATGCATGAAAAATTCTAAATACTGCTGCAACAGTAACTTTACATTCACTAAAGTAGGTTACAACAGCATCTCACATATTCAGACCTCTGCTTAGAAAGAAGCTGAATTCTCTCCATCTTATTCTTGAAATTATTTTCCAGAAAGCAAGGGCTACAGCAATGCATGTTTCTTCTCCATACACCTTAGTTTTCTTTTACCCATTACTTTTATCCAAATTTTCAGCAATTTTCTCTCTCCATAGATCCAGCATATTTCAGCCATCTGACCTGAGGAACTAAACTCTCCTTCGCTATGGCTCAGTCACTGCTATACTTCTTTAGATGGTCCCTAACAGTTTACTGCTTATTTATCACGAACAAAATCACGCAGGATTAAATAAAAAATGCTTTTTGCTCTGATGTGATCTACTACAATGACTGATCCACCTCACCTGAAGGAAGTTCTGGCTGGAATTTATTAGAGCAAGCTGGGCACTGAGGTCTTCCGCCTGAGCTTGACTTCCTCTTACACCCTGCACCAACTGAGGGATGTGGTCTGCAACATTCTATAAGAAAGGGAAAAGCTTTTAGTAGGTAAATAAAAACCTTCAAGACCTCTTAGACTAGAGCAAGCCCTCTTCCCACACCCCTTAAATACAGCCTGTAGTATTCACAGGTACAATACCTGTGTGCCTTCACAGAATTTGTTTAGGTTTCTATGCAATTTAATTAATACATGGTAGGATTTTTCAGAGACTTTTACTTGAGAAAACTTAATTCAAGCTACTCAGTTTAAAGATCCTACAAGAATATCTACAATTTTTCTGCAAGATTATATACACAAGGTAGTTTGAATGACTTCCTTTGCAGGCTCAAATGCCAGTAGTGGAAGTGACAGATATTTCAAGATGTGTTGCTTTCAAACAACTTTGTCTTATACGCAGAAGCACCTCAGTCTACTTTTCCTTGACTTCCAACAATACAAAC